GTTTGAAAGATCAAAAATAGTTAAAAGTTACAAATTTTGAAGGGTTTAACCTAATGCTACACTAAACAATTCCAAAAGTGTAGGAAAAAAACAAAAAGCTCTCTAATGCTTTTATGAGCTAACCTTAATAGCCCATATACATATAAAAGCAAACCTTGGAACCAATCTCATTTAAAAATAAAGATTCTAATTTTTTTTTAAATTTAGTATACTGAATTTGTAGGCATCACGACTGAATGAGATTTTGCCAGAAAGCAATACAGATTAACGGTTAACAGCAGAAGCCCCTGAGTCACGTGGCCCAGAGTTTAAATCCCACTCTTAACATATACTAACAATGAAATGTTGCTTTAGTTCTTAACTTCTCTATTACTGTTTCCTCAACCGGGACATGAAGGTAAAAAAAAAAAGTCTCCACCTAAAATAGTGGTTGGGAAGATTAAATGAAAATAAGTTAAAACTCTTAGCACACTTTCTTAACATAGTACATAGTAAATATTCCTTCTCTTACAATCGTTCTTACTGACATATAAAATATCATCAGTTGTTGCAAAAAAAAACAAAGACGGGCTTCCCTGGAGGTGCAGTGGTTGAGAGTCCGCCTGCCGATGCAGAGAACACGGGTTCTTGCCCCGGTCGGGGAAGATCCCACATGCCGCGGAGCGGCTGGGCCCGTGAGCCATGGACGCTGAGCCTGCGTGTCTGGAGCCTGTGCTCCACAACGGGAGAGGCCACAGCAGTGAGAGGCCCGCGTACCGCAAAACAAAACAAAACAAAAGACATGTGATAAAGAGTCAACATCTAAATGTGATTTCAAAGCATTTTAAAAACTTATACTGTAAGGACATTTCATATTACAATGAAACAATACATAACAGAAACTAGTATTAACCCTAGTAGTATTCTGTAATCTTAGCTAAAACAATAAAACAGTTTATGAGTAAAGAGGTGTAAAGATTGACAAAGAGGAGGTCAGATGATAATTATTTGCAAATGATATGGCCTGCATACAAAGAATATTGAAGAATATCAACAGAATATTAGATCTAATGAAAATTCATTAAGGCAGCTGGATACAATGTTAGTATAACAAATCAAAATTAGGTGAGAAAAGAAAGGAGTAAAAAGGGAATAAGCAGCTGGATCCCTTTCTCTCTGCAAACCAAGTCTTATGCTAATAACAAGATAAGCAACTATTTCATACTAAAGAATATCCATTTTATATAATGTTTAGAGTGATTTATATAATGTTAACTGTCCCTTGAAATGTTGTATTATATTTTTATAACTTTAGATAATACCTAAATTAGAAAATACTACATTATTTTAACTAAGAAATTTACCCTGAATTCAGCTTGTATTGTTTTGCAAGTTTTGTTTTAACTCTTAATTTGGTTAATCTGTGACATCCTTCCCACCTAACCCCCAGTATAACTAATTGAAAGTTGACTGTTGATCCATAAGATTCCTTCTGCCTCCATCCTCTACTATTTCTTTTTTATCCTCCCTGTCTGGAATAAATGTATGCTTCGCTCCACTAAACACTCAGATCTTAAAAAGTTGCTCATGTCTAATCATACTAACTTTAAGGCTTTAAAAGAAGATTCAGAGGCATTTAATGACTTGCCCAAGGTCACAGAAAGGTGATTTAGATCAACCAACATCCTAGTCTTTTCACTACACCGCCTGTATTCTAACAGTTGTCCACAGTTTCGAACTTTCATCGTTTCTCAATAATGTTAAATCATGAGATTCAGTTAGGGAACGAAAATAACCCCTGCACTTGCATTCCTTTTAGAAAACACTCACTCATTCATCAAATATTTACTGAAACCTACTAAGTGCACTGAGCTGTTCTAAGCCCTAGGGTGAAACGAAATAGGCAAAATACCTTCCCTTATGAACCTTATGTTTTATTTAACTCAGGAGGATACATTGAATGAAAATAGTATCCAGCTCACTTAACTCCACAAATTAATTTGGTCCCTGAGAGGAAGGCTACTATATTGCTGCCCTAAAGAATCCTTATTTGGTAGTGTATATATGTCAATGCTACTCAGCAGCATAGCACAGGAAGATCAGCTTGGTTCTTTGAGACCACCTAGAGGGGTGGGATAGGGAGGGTGGGAGGGAGGCTCAAGAGAGGATATGGGGATATTGTATGCGTATGGCTGATTCACTTTGTTGTACAACAGAAACTAACACAGCATTGTGAAGCAATTACACTCCAATAAAGATGTATTTTTTTTAAAAAAAATCCTTATTTGGGACCTAAATCTATGAATCAAATTTCTGAGATGCAAGGATCCTACACTTAGGTAAATATCAAGCACAAAGGCTGAAACACATGTTCAAGAACAAAATTATGACAGATTTTAACTGTAGCTAATCTGCTGCCAACTCCACCTCACCTGTATCATCTTAAACCTCAAAAAAATAGCTCTCTGCAGTTACAATTAATCTCATAACTCCCTGACATGGCTAAACTTGAGCAATCAAGCAAAGAACACATCAGAGGAAAAGACAGCCCTTGCCTTATGTTACCCTGTGACAAGCTACTCTGTAGGTGACAAAAGACATATGAGTGTTGTGCATTTTTTTTTTAATCATGCATCCTTCTGGAAGAAAAAAAAAATCTTGAAAAATAGAAAACTGTTCCAACTACCAAAATATGGCTCTTTATATAAAGCTAATATTATACATGAGCATACAACACACAAGTTTTTAAAGGAGAGCAGAAAACAGGCTAAGATTTTGGTTATGCAATATGCACTAGACAATTCTCGTTTTACTAATAATTCATAAAGTTTCTAATTTAAAAGCAAAGAGTTTCACTTTTGTTTCTTCTAAAGTAGTTCATTTCCTAGTTACTAGCTTGAAGTCTACTTCCTAGTTACTAGCATGGTGAATTTAAATCGTCAATTCATTTTAAGTGGATGGTTTAAGGTATTTGAACCTATACGAATATTTTTAAATAGTTCTGAGCAACAAAGTAATAGTATATTGATATAGAAAGCAAACACATTACATGTTTCTTTTAAAAATAACACATAAACACCATGATGGAAGTATAAAAATAAATGCAATTGTATTGCTCTAAAAAAATGTCCACAGTATCAATAAGATGATCTGACAGACACACACTAAAAACAGCATCATGATGGTAATATTTTAGACTAACAACTACACCCTTTGTTTAAGGAGGGGACTCAGTAAACTAGGAAACTGGACTTGGTGGCCAGGACCACTTTCAGTAATTTGATTCTTGATTCACAATTTTACGCATAAACCTCTGAATCGGGCAGATCTGCATTACCTAATTTTATGCTAAAGAAGTACTTTAGTCCAAAATCAATTTAAAAAACTCACAAATTTCTTGCCAATGTTCAAATTTAAGAGATGTGAAAAATATGAGTTATATTTCCCACTTTGAAACACATAGCCTTTAATATTCAACTTTGGAGAGAACTATAAACAGAAGCAACACCAAACCTATTAAATATTGCTTAGTATACATATGACCACAAGATCCTCCTCTAAGTGTTAAGACTCTGTCATACTCAACATCAAAAACTAAAGTTTAAGGTATTCCAAACAGAATGGAGGGGATTAGGAGATAAACTGTTCTAAACTCCCACTATTAATCTAGAATTATTTCACTGTAAATAAACTGCAGTCTGCAATAGTCTTCTAAATTAACCAGTACAGCACACAAGAGTTCCAAAGACAAGTTTCCCAAAGCGCCTAAACTAACAATGCACTATCCTTGCTTTCCAAAATTCTTGAGCATCTTCAATTACCTCAAGTACTATAATAAAATTCTAAAATTAATCTCAAAGCAAAAACTTAGCAAGCTGCGTGTATACACAGTCAGCAGGACAGCAGCCCTTATTCTAAAATCGAGCACAGGTAGGATATAACAATGCCAAAACTACAGCAGGGTGGGGCATTCACTACTCTCCCAGAAAAATCAAATATACTTTTGGTAGCTGCTCTCTGTAAACGCTGGTTGCCCCCATAATTCCAAGACGAGTAAAGCAATGTTTTCCTTTTGCCCAAAATGCTTTTCACACCAATGACCACCCCCCCCAAAAAAATTAAGTCATAGCCAACTACTTTTCAGGATATGGTGCAAGCCGTGATAGTGCACTTGAGATTCTGAAAGCAAAATCTAGAAAAAAAGTAGCATCTCTCATTACTTAACGTAAAAGATCTGAAACTTCACAAACGCAGATTTTTTTCTTAAGTGAGTGACCATTTGAATGTGTGACTGAGGCAAGAGTAAAGGGTGAACGATGGTACAAGGTCAAACTTAGGGGACAAAGGATTCCTGGAATAAACATGGCCAGAAAGGTTTCCTTAAGGGACAGTTTCTATATTCAAAAAAGAAAAAAAAGAAAAGAAAAAGAAACGGAAAGAAGGAAGGAAGGGAGGAAGGAAGGGAAGGAAGGGAGGGAGGGAGGAAGAAAGGAAAAGGAACCAACCAAATCCTCTACTTTTACACCAAGTCTACCTGGTTAATGTACCTGTCCCGCCAGGCCGACTATTCAATTCTGGTGGAGACCCTTTTGCAAAATAGCAGGCCTGGAATGCTCCTACCTTGGAAATAAAAACTGGATTCAGAAGGGATGACAACCGGCTATTTCTTTTTTAAAAAAGAGGAGGAAGATAAAGTTTAATTAAGAAGCCATATAGAGGAGTGCTGGAATGTGAGATCGCGCTCAACCAATACCCACCCGGCACCGTCTGTTACAGGAAAACAATCGGCAAGAAGGAAGTGGACTGAAACCCGCTAACTACACTCCGCTTTCCACACGCAGCCCGGAACTGGGCGCGACGCCCCCAAAGCGGGTAGGGGCGGGGGCAGCAAGGGGGAAGCCCAGGGCAGCGGAGGCCCGGGCGGCGGCGGGGGAGGCCGGGGAGGTCCCGGCCGAGGCGGGTGAGGGCGGCATGTCAGGAGGAGTGGGGCCGGGCCGCGCCGGCTCGCGGCTTCGCCTCACCTTCTGCGCCGCGCTCTGCTGCAGCACGTTCTGCTCCACGGTCATGACCCCCGCAGCGCCGGCGGCGACACCGGCGGCGGCATCCGGCTCCTCGAGCATCCTCCAGCCCTGACTGCCAAGCTCCGCTGAGTTCCAGGGAGCGGTGCGGACGGCCGGGGAGGACAGCGCCCCCGCCAGCCAGGTGCGAAGCCGATGGCGGGCGGCGTGCGCGGGCAACGTGGGCTGGCGGCGAGGTGCAGACAGCGAGGGCCACGGCGGCGGCCCCACGACTCCGCGCGGCCCGCCTCAGCGCGGCTCGTCGGCAGCGGCCCGGGCCATGAGCGGGCAGCGGACGCTCGGCGCGGGGGGGCGCAAGCAAGCCGGGACTCGTCACG